AAACGAATACAAATTGCAAATTTGTCGACTGCCTTCTCATTTGAAATTTTTTTAAAAAAAAATATTTATTTCGTTGACTCGTCGTTATGGTTGTTAAAAATAGCACTTATTTTTAAATAAACAAATATGAAAGTATTTTATATTGAATTAGTTTAAGAAGTTCTTTGGTAAAATGCTTTCTATTAATCACAAGAATCTGCTGAAAAATATTATTTTCGCCGAAAGCTTATGTTACTTTACTATGTTAATACCAAAACTATTCCAAGAAAGGATTCAAGAGTTCCATGAGCGGAAGGAATATACATTTTAAATAAATTGTTTTACTCAATTTGCTTGCTTTACATGTAAATGGTAATAAAATGAATTTTGCAAAAATATATTCATGACATTCAAACAGTTCAAACAGAAATATTATGTTTGAGGCGAAAGTTCATTTTGACACTTTAAGCGCGAAAAATGTAAAATGAATAGTGTGGAAGGATAATTATGTTTACAACCGCATCTTTAAACTTACATGTGTGCACTTTAGTATATTCAGTTTAACATTAATGACGTTGTCAGTTCGAGCCACCAAACCGGCCCTGCTAGCAGCTCGGGGCCCAGTCACGTTTTCGCTTGGCTTCTCTTTTATAATAGAGCCCTGTGATATGTGCCTTGGCCTCTGTCGCCGTTGCTGCCAAGTATGCAATATATTTGATGTATATATACATTTGTAACGATGTGTGTGGGTGTGAACAAACTTGCATGCGTTTGTCTGTGTGCAAGTGTTGGCGGTGGGCAGGAGGGTGGGAGGAAGGTTGGGGTAACCATCACTATCAAAAACATTAACGGCTTTTACTTACCCGCCGCTCGTGGCTGGCAGTCACTTTTGCACTTGACACAAAAGCGAAATGTAGGCAAGCTGCTGAAATTCTTTTATGAAGCATACTTTTCAGCGTTCCTGCTGTGATTTTTCACCAGCAGCCGAGACATGCGGAGCACGTCAGGCACGCAAAACTTTGACCTATAGCCAAGCAGAGCAGAGCAGAGCAGACCCAGGCCCAGAGCGCTGAGGCATGTGTCAGGGGCTTATAATAAAAGGCGACAAAATGTTGTCGCTGTCTTGCCATATAAGTTCCGTTGGCACTTTTAAAGCGTTTATTTCTTATTTGAAAAGTTGGAACGAGTGTACATATATGAACTACCATGAAAGGTGGCCCTTTGGCACTTAACTGCTTACCGCGAACCACATAAAAGCACCACTCAAGACACACATAGGCGCCGTTTTGGTGGCCAACTTTTAATGCGGTTGCTTGACCACACCCCTTACGGTTATAGCCATCAAAAGGCAACCCTTGCCATTGGGACGCTTACTTGGCAGCATCAGCATGCCCGGCACGTTCTGTTTCATTTAAAAGTTTGCCGGCATCGGGTAAAAATCAAATAGAATTAGCACAAGACGCGCATGTGTAAGTAATGGAAAATTGTTTTCAATTTGCGCCAGGTATATATATATATATATATACACGACAACAGGCACCATGCTACGAGTGTGAATGTCTTCAATGGAGAGCTTACACCGTATGGCTTACTCACAATTGTATAAGTAGTATATATAAGTTTGTGGGTGCTTCTTAACATGTTAGGTGCGCTTCGGCAACGATTTACGCAAATACAATACAAATAGAAAGCAGGGAAAGCAGAAAGAGCCCGAAGGCAGGCTTCTGTGCTCTGTGACTAGTATTAATAATTTCCCATTTAATGCAAATCAAATAGCAACGCGCAATGCAGAGTAAATGATCTACGAAAGGCTCGTAAAGTGTGACACCCTTAAAGCAATATCTGTGTATAAATTTACAAAAAAAAAAAATGTTTTCATATTATTTGTGTAAATGTATTTAATAGGCTCAAGTGAGAAACATATTTAAATAATTGCAAAATATTCAATTTTTAAAATTAAATTTGTTGGTAATTTTAAATTAAACAAATACGAAGAAATTCTCTAAGAAGCCTAGACACAACATTAAGTTAGTTCATATGATGAAATGAACAAGCAAAGCAATTACAATTTAAAGTGAATACAAAGATTTGCTGATAGCACACCAAAAATAAATTTGTTTATTCACGCAAATCTTATAGAAATATTTACTCAATCAGCGAAATTGTCAGGTGATGGCAGTAATTAAATGCTATTCAAATTAAGAGCTTGGCCACATTGGTCAGCTCTTAAAATTTTGCATAATAATTTATTTAAATTTCGCATTTACATTTATTTAATTCTCGCATTTTGTACTTATAAACTTAGTCAAAATAAAGCCGATTAAATATGCCTATGTACTTTAATCAGGCATTCACACACACAGTTACACACTCATATACACACATAAGTGCACAGATGTCACGGGTTGCCGCGGCGCACTGGCATTCAATAAATATAAAACATATTCATCAATGTCAGCTTACGCGGCGTATTGTGCTTTAATTTTACGCCTATGTCCTTGCGGCGGCGCACTGGGGGTGGCTTTAAGGTCGCATTTAAGATATAATGTGCCGGCAGGAAGTCAATCGACAATTAAAAATACGTTTTGCTTTTAGAGCTCGTTCAGCTTATAACAAATGTGTGTAATTCAATATATTAATTCAAAACAAATTTTAAGTAATTATCTATGCTTTAACTATGTTTTTAAAAATGGAAATGAAACTTCAAGAATTGCAATGTTCAGATAACAGTGTATTAGCTTATAAAGACAAATCAAGCAATCAAAGCTCGCCTTAAATTTAAGGATTTCATATTGAGAACGTACATTTTTAAATTAAAGTATTCCTGATAATGTGGGTGATAATAGGCCTCGAAGCTTAACAGAACAAGCATTCATGATTTTCTTAGGGATTCACGAAATATAATTTGAGACATCCTGCAGCTAGTTTCCTGTAGCTCATAAGTCGCCAGATGGGCCCCGTTATCTGTTCCGGCAAACAAGAGACATATTCATTATAAGATTTGGAACATCTCTGACCGTTCGAATGTCTAATGCATTTATATTGCATATATGGATAAATATCTGTGTGTGAGTTTGTGTGTGTGTGCAATTAAGTTAGTAAATGCACCGATTGGCTTACAATGTGTACTTTATTCGAAAATAATTTGGAAAGCCGCAACGCAATCGCACAACCGACTTTGGCGAAATTTCAAATTCAAATCTTGGCTAAGCAATTAGGGCGTAACTTTGATGTGGCTTCTGGTTTGGCTTTGAACTTGACGACCATGACGGCATAAATAAGCAAATAACCAGCGGAAAATGTGTGTTTGTGTGAAAAATGCTCGAAAAATTCTTAAAGACCGACAACATTTTTCTTAAGGTACCCGCCGAATGTGAGACTTTGATTACAGCGAGACAACGGCAAAGGGTATAACTTTTAATGGGTAATTAAGCAGATTTCGAAAGGATGCCATTACCTGCCCGGCCGAGTGGCGTAATTGCAAAGTATGCAGGTGTATTACAAATGAAAAGAATGCTAGGTGGTGGGCCAGCAGGCTGGACGAGCAGTAGGGTGTTGGCATGTGTGTGTGTGTGTGTGCTGCCATTGCTAAACATGGCGCTCATCGGTTTTATTGAACTGTTTTTATTGAGTGCGCTGTGCCGCAATGTAGGCCCAGCCGATGAGTTTTTAATTAACTTTTGGCTTGGCTGTTGCCATTGACGGATTCCTGAAAATCGTTTCGAAGCAGCGCTTTAATTAGTTACGCGTTTCAAAGGCGTTCAGAGGCTGTGCTACAAGAGTGTAGCCTGATGTGTGTGCCTGTGTGTGTGTGTGTGTGTGTGCATGTGTATGCCTGTGTGTGTGTGTGTGTGTGTTCGTGGCATATGAAAAAATTGTAAAATTGCGTATGCTTGCCGGAGCACCACATGGCGTATGATTAATGCGAGCATTTTGTAAATTTTATTAAATAAATTGTAATTTATCATTGTGAAACAACGCAGCGAAAGCAAATCAAATAAATTACGCAGCACTCGAGCAAAAACTTTGACCATTAAACGCTCTAAACAAACGGAAGCCAATGACGATATCAGCTCCCACTTTCCCTCAACGCCCCGATTGAGCTGTTGTTGTTTCAGTTTTTTTTTTTTTTGTTTTTGTCTGTGGTGTTTTGTCTGTTTGCTTACTGTTTGTGTTTATTTGTTGGGGCATTTTATTGCAATTGATTTTTGGTGTCGTCAGCTGCACGCTCAGACGGACAGCCGGCGGAGAGATACGGGCTGTTCAGACTCGGACAAGTGTTGCGGCTGCGGCTTAAGTTTGTCGACAAATTGAAAACTTTTTCGTTGGCCAAGAAAAAGCAAACGCCCACAGTTAAATAAATGAAAACAGCATTGGCCAAGCCGCAAAGCCGCCAGCCAAACCAAAGTCTTTTGGCTGCCACAACCCAAACCAAAATCAGAAACCAGCTAGAATGCCATGCTGGCAGATACCCTGAGCCCAGCGCCTTGCTGTTGTTACCAACAATTTAGCTTTCTTCTATGCATAAGACGCAAAAACACTCATACCCAAAAAATTCAAGCTGCGCACTTTGGACAGCGGCTGTGCTATTTTTTCCCTTTCCGTACGCTTTGTATGGAAAATATATTCTTGATGAACTTCGGTGAATGAACCCGAACCTTATGAAATCTTGAAGGCCCAAATATGGAACTAAAATGTGTGCATAAACCAGGTCAAAAGCGTTTTCTTGCCCACTCGGCTGTGATCCTTTTCCCTTCCACATCTTCTACAGAATGTATACATATTCCTGATTAAATTCGATTACCTTTCTGTAGCTGTGCTTAAAATCTTTTGTGTTTCAACCAATGTTGTACTATATACAATATATATTTAATTCCAAGTGTTTAGCTCGACACGTTAATACAGACAGATGACTAGATCGGCTTGGATCCTGATCCCTTCCTTTCTTACTTTCGGACAAAACCAATATATCTCTTTCAACTATTTTCAATAGGTTTAGGGTACAAATATAAAGAAATATATACAATCAAACTAAGCGAGCAACAAATGCGTCTCGACTTTAATTTTACGCGTCTGGGGGCACTAAAGTTTGTGCTACGCAAATTGCGCACAGAAAGGTGCTTAAAGTTGTGGCTTATTCATAAATAAATAAACGGTTGCTGCTGCTGCTGCTGCACAGTGGTCGCAAAGTAGTTGGCCAATTGTGCAGTAATCATATTGGCAGCAAGAGGCAGTCGGCTAAGCAGCTTAGCCCAGCTATAAAATATGCATGCTGTGTATGTTATGTGTATGCGTGAGTTGAAAAGTTTGGAAGTATTTTGGTTTTTGCCCTAGGCGCCACCGGCAGAACTACAGCACACGCTGTAGATGGACTGTGGTCGATAATGGGGCACATGCACCTGGACATGGTGCTGTACCTCGTCCATCTGTATATCGCTGCTGGAGAAGGGTGAGGCGCCGGTTATCTGGTTAAAGCGCGACTCGTGTGTGCGTATGGATGCGATGCGTTCGCGCCAAGTATGCCAGAAATATTGCTTGTGTATGTGGCCACCAAATTCAAAGATCATGGGCCTTTCCGCCGGCAGATGTTGCTCCAGCGGCTGCACGCTGAGCATCATTAGGTAGCGTTCACGTTTGCGATAGAAATTGAAGCGTATATACTCCAGCGGCACCATGCTGATCAGATCGAAGCACTCGATTTCCGGATCCTGGCCTAGACAATACCAGTTGGGCTCACTGCCGTATTCCTCGTGCTTGTAGAAATTGTCGCAACCAAAGAGCAGCTTCGTGCCGGTGAGTGCGATGTGATATTGGCGCAATCCCACTCCGTGTGCATCCACTAGCGTGAAGGGACTTTCCACCATTACCGGCTCGTAGATCTCCTGGTATTCGGTGAGTAAAACTTTTTGCACTCGAAACATCTTGTCAGCGGCAATCGCAATGACTTTGCCAACGACTTTGGCTATAATTTAATTGAAATGTCAATCAAAGTTTCGCTGCTCCTTCGTCTGTCTGTCCGGGCGGCCGCCTCTGTCTTCTCTGTCGATTTGTTTGTTTTGAGTCGAGTTTGGGTTTGGGTTTGGGTTTTGGTTTTGGGGTTTTCGGGCTTTTGGTTTCGGCCTTGCCCCAGTCACAGTCACTGTCACAGTCGCAGCGCCTGCTCTGTTATCGAAACTGTGCTGCAAAGTCGATTAGGCGAATGCAAATCAATTCTGGCCAACCACATTGTGGTCCAGCCCATTTGCATCTGAATTTAAATTGGTATTTGTCCGGCATCCTAATTCGCATAGCTCGCCAAATGCCTGCATTTCGTGCAGTCTGCTGACTGTCAAGTGTTAACTGACTAGTTGGGCATAGAAACGCTTCTCACTCCCAGTCGAACTTAATAAATCCGAATGTAGTTGTGTTTGCAAATACTCTTTAATTGCTGAGATTCTATGTAGATAGAATTATAACAATTAGCATTGGCAACTGATGGGGCCATACGGATTTCGAATCTTAAATATAAAAATCTTAGTTAAATTGAATTTTAATTTAATGTATATTAATTACATAAGTACAATTTGAATTTAAACAATTAATTCGATTAGCATGTGGTAAAAGAGGACAGGCACAATATCTGAAAGCGATATAGAGAATTAAGCAGCTCTTTATTCTTATAATAATTTTATTCAGTTATATTTTTCCATAATACGTAAGCTTGTGATTCCAAAACCGAAGTCTCGCTCGGAAGAAGACACTCCTTAGCTCTTAACCTTCGGATAACTATCTCATTTTATTTTTAAATTTCGATTAGGGTATCAAAGTGTTCACGGGGTCGATAATAAATTTCATTTGCTTGTTCTTGGCTTCTCGCTGTCAGGGCAGACAATTTTTAGATTTTGTGATTTATGGCAAGTGTTCGCTGTCCATTACCTACGCTATCAAGTGTCGTTAGGGGACCTGGCTTTACACTAAACTGCAGTCGGTGACAAATTTCTATAATAAAATCCTTTTAGTCGTGTGCCAGAAGTGCGGCTGCTGCTCACTTGATCTCAAGAGAGTCGAAAGTGCGGCTGAGCATGATGAGATAAGCAGCATATTTGCCATTTTCAGAGCAATTAACTTCTAGCAGAAACCCATCGACTTTTGCTCAGTTCAGGAAAATGGCATAATGGCAAATACTTAAAGCTGTCATGTCCGCAAATGGTTCTGTTTAGTTTTCAAGTGTGTCATGCAATATTTGCTGTGTGTTAATCATCGATTGATTAACTTTAGTGGCAATAGTGTCCAAATTGCCACAAATTCAATTGCACGCACGAATAGACACACAAATTCTGAAATTAATTAAAGCCATTTTCTAGGCCAAATTTATGATGGTGCCGGAGCCGTTAACGTGCCACTTACGATACGATAAATTCAAAGCCACAACGTTTCGAACCTATTAACAATGTTGCAAGTTGTGCTGCTTGCCACACATTTAGATGCGTTAATTAACGCAACAAATGTATTTAACTTATTTAAGACGCTTCTGTGATTGGCAACACTTGATTTCAAGTGCGCTTTGAAACTGTTTGCACATCTGATTTAAGTGGAGAAGTGCCTTAAACCACCTCATTGCCTTTGGGCTTTGAAGTGGGGCGCAAAAGTAATACTTGGCCGGACCAGCCCGTTAGGGCCAGGTCACAAGAGCCTTCTTCCTGCCCACTCGACTGGCTGTACACGTCAATTGTGCTTAAGCGTAGACTGAGTGCAGCAATTAGGTAAAAGTGGCTGTAACAACAATATTACACACAAAGCACATTTAAACACACACGTGATTCTTGAGCTTGTGTGTGTGTGTGTGTGTGTGTGTGTGGTTTATTACCGCTTTGAGCTTTTCATTACTAACATTTCAGGTTTTATTGTTAAATGCGACGCTACATAAAGTAGAGAATCCACCATTGCTCATATGCTGCTTCACACAGCCACAAATAAACTTACAAAAACAGCTACAGATACGTCTGCAGATACATCTACAAATGCAGATACAGATACAGTTTCGTTGGTCGTGGTTCCAGCCGGAAATGTGTGATGGCTACATAGCTCTCACTTGTATTCGCACATTCGTACGTACATATACACACCTTGTGCCATATACTGTATAGTTTCCGGCTCAGTTTCTATATCTATTGTACTATGTACCTGTCGCCTCTCTGCTTTGTAATATGTACTTTGTGGCTCACTTTGTTGCACATTTCAGCCACTGGGTATTTTTTCTTTCTTCTTTTTTTTTGGGTGTAATGCAGAGTGCATAAAAGCTCTATTAGCATTAAAGTGCCGCACGATGTCAAGAGTGCGCACTGTAAATGGCTCGAGCTTTATGTATATATACATATATGTACATTTAATACGATTATAACTGCTGGAGCAGCAGAGCAGACAAAATATGTAATTTCTTTGACGCCGTTTGTTTTTGTAATTGCAAGTAAAATACTTTTCAAATTGCATTTGCATTGATGCCATTAAATAATTAACGCTTATTTGACTGGCATCAATACTAGCTGCAATCTGTTTATGCTCATTTATTTTAATCCAATTATATTCATATTTTACACCTGACTTGATTAAAATATTTAATTTAAATATAGTCCATATTGGATATCTTTAAATATATTTAAATTACTTAGCAGATTAAATGGCTTAATACCCTTTGATAAATGGCTTAAAAGTGGTTATAACACGTTCTAATATACATTATAGACAAATGATATATATTAGGATATGTTTAATATATACCTCCAATTAGTTTTTGCTGAATTGTTAGCTTTTTCCCAGATATTATCAGATTCAAGATTGTATATACCCTGTAAAAATAGTTTAATTTTTGAACTCCATCTATTTCAGCATTTTTGGCCCAATTATTATTATTATTAATTATTATTAATTATTTAAAATGAAACACAAGATCAGCTTTAAAGTATTTCATCTGCCGTAAAAAATAGAGAGTGAAACTTTGTATAGTCGAACCTGGGTAAGTGACATCTCCCTGTTAAATACTCTCGTCAGACGCGCTTTACTTTGACATTTGTCCCACACAAGCATTTTATGTAATTAATCCGGTTTTTATTAATTGCAAACTTAGTTGCTTTGGGCACTACCCACTCGAAAGTTTTCCCTAGCTAGCATCATAAATGGCTAACAGGTAGCTGCTGTTTCTTACCATTCGAGTAACTTTGACAAATTTGCTGACAAGCTGAAATTTGACAAATGGATTCAGCTCTGGGCGTAATATGCATTTAAGACTTAAAAGCCAGAGTTCCACGTATTTTTTGTAGTGTTCGGTTTTTGGTGGACTTCAAGTGATTCCTCTTCGCTTCAGCCATGAAGGAAAATCTCATGTGGTTAAATTTGCACGCTCAATTGAAGCAGCCGTTAAAATGCGTGGATAAAATACGAGACAGCGTACAGCATCCAAATGTTCCATTAAGTGGGTGTTACCGAAATGGAGGTTGTCAAGGCAAAGACACGGCGCAGCCATAAGCTCGACACTAAAACACAGTTGCCGGCTAGTCCCTTATTCTGTTTTCTGATTCCCTGTAAATGATCAAATTCGAGAAAACATATATCTTGACAGGCATTTAATATTTTGTAGTAGAGCGAAAAATTTGATCTGGTTAAGTACCACTGGCAATTTTTGGTTTAGCTAGCAGCTCTACCCACTATACTAAATACCTCCAAATCAAGTCCATCCATGCTCACAGCCTTCGGAAAGCCTTAATTGTTTTTCTATTGAGAAGAAAGAAAGAATCTCTATCCTTCCATGGATATGCAGTTAATACGTAAGCGTAGTAGAAAAAAAATGAACCTCTTTAACAATAAACACGGTATCCTTTACTTCAGCTCTCTCGCCTAAAATATTTTAGTTGGGGCTTTCATTTTTTTTGGGTTTCTTTCGGAAAATGGTAAAAACGAGAAGGAAACTATTTACACCCTTTATCTTTATCTGCATCGCACAGTCTCCAAGCTTATACTCAATTTTTGCATTCGGCGCTTATCGCACATCCGCATCTCATCCAAATAGCAACCGACACATTTGCACAATTGCTTGTAACTGACACGTCAGACAGACAGACAGCCAGCCAGCCTGCCAGTAGTCATAGTCAAAGTCGTGACATAGGTAGGAGCCAATCCTTGAGTGCGGAAAGCTGCTGAGCGGATGTGGGTACACGCAAGGCACTTGGAGCCTGCCAGCAATGTCTGTATTCAAATGATTTTGGTTAAGGGAGTTGGTGTGTGTGTGTGTGTAAACGAGTGTACGTGTGTGTGTGCGTGTGTGTGTGAGTGTGTGTGTGTGCGTGTGTGTGTGAGTGTGTGTGTGTGCTAGACAGGTGTGGGACTACAATCTTTGCACTTGAAGCAGATTTATTTTATACGTGCATATATGTAAATGCTGCCAACTTTCTAATGCAATTCACGTGCACACTCAAATGCAGTTGTGCGTGTGGCTTTTTCTTTTTCAGTTGTTTTTTTTATGCACTGTTTTTTTGAGAGTTGGCCAAATAGGGTATTATGGTAACGTTCAAATGCAAGTGAAAGGCAAAAGAAGGCTTCTCCTGCGAATTTGTCGCGGAGTTTCCCAAACTGAAGAATGCATTTTTCTCAGTGCTGGGTAGCAAAGCAGAAGCCTAGCCAGTCAGTGCACTCAGTGCAGGGTATTTACAAGTCAAGCACGACCAACTGGTGCCCTCTCAGTTGTTGTTTTTTTTTTTTGTTTTTCACTTTCCTTTTGACATCTAACTGGACTTGGATGCTGCACTCGTTACGCACAGGTAGACTTCATATAATATGTGAGTGCCTCACTGCGGCTGCCAGGATAATGTATATATTTTATATGCAATAGTATGAAAATATATGAAAATTGCCCAGATGTCGGTTGGCTCGTTGTTATTCCCTTTCCTCGCTGCAAAGTGCTGTGTGCAGCATTTACAAAGAAAGCGCTTGAGTTACAGCTATGCAAACAGAGCTACAGATTAGTTTTTATCGGATCAAAATATTTACAAAGCTTGTGCCTCAACCAATTAACAGCAAACCAGTCGAGAGAACAGACTTTAAGTCAGCTTTAAGTCACATGAGCACAAGTGGCCGCAATTTGAGTCTTTACTGAGAC